TCAACCCGGGCAGGCAGGTCCGGAATTCAGCCTGGCCACAACGGATGGCTGGCTTCCACGTCAGGATTTAGCATTCGTTTCACACCGATTTCAGTTTCACCTCTGTGTGTGCCACTTACGAAACCAGAAGAATGGGGTTTTAGAAATAAATTGTTTAGATGCAAATTGGTCTTTTTCCAAAATGAAACAACTGGTAGGAAACACCAGTGCCGACACGCACTGCTGCGCTCTGGGGGAGCGCTCTGGGGCCGCGCTTCTTGCTTTGCCTGCTCTGGCCCCGAGCGGCCCTGGAGCCGGCCCAGCCCTATCTCGAGTCCAGGCACCGGGTCCTGGCTTAGCAGGTGCTGCCTGGGTCTTGGTGAGCTAATCTACGAAACAGGGCAGGACAGAGCGGGAGGGTCTTCCTGAGCCCAGGCGTCCCATGGCCTGTAAACACCGAGCACAGTGCCCACACCAGGAGGTGTCCATGCCATAGGGTGATGATGGTGCTGGTGGAAGTGATGATGGTGGTGATGGCGGTGGTGGTGGTCATGGCTATGGCATGATGATGGTGATGGTGATGGTGATGATAGAAGTGATGATGATGGTGGTGATGGTGGTGGTGATGGTGGTGATGGCGGTGGTGATGGCAGTGGTGATGGTGATGATGGAGGAGGTGGTGGTCATGGCTATGGCATAATGATAGTGATGATGGTGGTGGTGATGGTGATGGTGATGGTGGTGATGATGGAAGTGATGATGGTGGTGATGGTGGTGGTGGTGGTCATGGCTATGGCATGATGATGGTGATGATTATGGTGGTGGTGGTGATGGTGGTGGTGATGATACAATTGGCTTCTGTATAAGACTGTGAATTAGGTCTCCATCGCTCCCCAGGAAGCACTGCCTCCTGCTGGATCCAGAGCCCTGGTTGGTGCAGCAATCTCCCTGCTCTGACTGAGATTTATGTTCAAAGCTCAGCTCCCAGAATTCCCAGAAAGCCTTTCCTCTCTCAACAGAGCCCTGATCCTGAAAATCAAAGTGCTTCAGCCTCAGACTCTTGCACAGAACACGTCTGCTCGTCGCAAAACGACTTTCCTTCCCTGGGGCAGAGCCTCCATCTGACACACCAGCAGTAGTGATGGGGGGAGGCATCCGTTATGAAGCTCTGGCTCACAGAGCAACCATTCTCAGCGCTCCCCCTTCCTACATTCCGTGTCGCCTCCCTTCCCCCGTGCTCTCCAGCCTCCTTGTCACCCCGACACCTGCCTTTCCTACAGGTAAATGCCCCATTCTCCTGTCCAGTCCTCCCACCGTCTCCCGATGTGGGGGACCTGACAGCCGACCAGTTAGACCCGGGTGCTGACCTGCTCGGCCGGGGGACTGACCGGCCAGCGTGCTCTGGCCGAATGGCTGGAGCAGGGGGCCCCAGGGCAGTGCATTAGCCCCTAGTGGGTGTGGGGGGAGTCAGGGGTGTGGGGCGGGCAGTGGGCATGAGGAGGCCCCTCCCTGTGGCTCAGGGCAGTCCTTTGCCTCCAGAGCTGCTAGGGCCGCATGGACGCCTCTGCCAGACCCAGTCCCCTGGGCCCAGGGCGGCCAGGGCAGGGCGTCCTCAGCCGCGGCCACGGTCATGGGCGCGGAGCAGGAATGTGCGCCCGTGCCAAGCCATCCAGCTGGAGAGGTTGTGTAAACAGCACCCGAAACCGGAGCCACAGGGAGCCAGGAAGGAGGGGGATCAGAAGGAGAGGCCGCGGCTGGGAGTGACCGGGCCCTCCTGACCAGGTCCCCGAGCACAGCCGTCACGTGAGCCTGTGGGCACTGAGGCCACGGCTGCCGTCCCTGCCCTTGTCCGGCCTCTGCACTGAGTGACGGCCCGCAGGCTCAGGCTGACGGGGTGACCCCCCGCTGGGCAGCAAGGCGGTCATCGCTGCGGGCCCCAGGGAGCCCCGGAGACCAGTGCTGCCCACGGCGGAGGGTGGGCGGCGTCAATCTGCTCTCCTCTGCTGTGGCCCCGATTCTATCCACCACCCGTCCCAGGCCTGAGCCCCGGGCGTAGGCGTGTGCTCCCGTGACCAGCCTGGCGGTCAGTGAAGGGACCGTGGGGTTGTGACCACAGACCCTGTGTGTCCTGGGCTGTGAGGCCTGAAGGCCGCCCCGCGCTCTCCGCTCGGGCGAGGCCACGCGGCTGCCTGGGACGTGGCTCCGGGTGCCCTGGGAGGCCATTCCTCCGGGTCCAGACGGGGTGGGAGGGGGACCTGGATCTCCAGCGGCCGAGTCCCGGGTCAGAGCACAGGAAGCGGCGGCCCTTGTGTATGTCGCGAGGTTCGGGTTAAGGAAGCGCCTTGTTCACCCTTCCCTGGAGGGACCCAGGCGGGCGCTCACCGCCCAGCCTCCCAGCCTCGGCCTGCGGGGCGACACGACGTCCCCAGGAACCTGACCGCCCATCCCGGGTCCCCAGCAAGGCACAGAGAGCTCCCAGCAGGCCCTCTGGGCTCAGCTCTCGGCCTGTGGGCAGCTCCCTGTGGGTGGGAACTGCCCCCAGGAGGGGCCTAGGGTGACGCCTGCTGCCTCCACCTGTGGGACCCATCACCGAGGCCTGGGGGCCCAGGAGCTGCCAGACCGGACGCCTGACCCTGCTGACCGCCAAGGAGGGGGCTGGCCCGCGTCCCTCATCCCCTCTTCCTCCCTCGTCCAGTGGCCCCTCAGGGATCACTGGAGACACATGTTTGGCTCGCATTAGAGCCAAGATTGGGATTTGCTCTCGATTTAAAATAGAGAGTTTGACATGATCTGAATCTTCCCCAATCGCACAGCGCTGCCTGGGGACCGAACCCTGTAGCAGCCGGGAGGGTGGGGCCGGCCGAGGACTTGGCTGGCGGGCGGACCTCCCACATCGGCCGGGAAGCTGTGACCCACGTCAGCCTCGGCCCGCAGCCCCACGGCCCTGCATCTGCTGTGGACAGACGAGCCGGCAGGTCTGAGAGCTGTGGGCAGGGTCACTCAGGCCGAGGGGGCAGGGCTGTGACGGAGCGACCTCCATGGACCCCCACTTGGCTCTCCTCCTCCCCCTGCCTCCTCTGCCCGGAGACCTGGGCCTCCCATCAGCTCTGCGGGAAGCTGGGCTCCAGGGAGCATGTGGGTGGGCGCAGGAGCGGCCGGTGTCTCCCTCCTTTACCGGCCCCGCCCCGCCCCCAGCACCGGGGCCCAGCTTCCTCTGTGAGTGCCCTGCCCAGCGGGAGCTGCTGCCCAGGCTGTGGTCTGCCCTGAGCATGCAGGGCCTGTTCCCCAAGTTCTCCAAGGCACCCCAGCATTTGAGCAACCCCCGCCTCCAGCCTGCCCCTCCCACACTATAAAAACCAGGCTGCGCCAGTTCCATCCGTCCAAACAAGGGGAGCAGGTCTGGTTGGGGGGCATTCATGCTGGGAGCGCCAGGCCTGCTCAGCATGTCGGCCAGGCCACGCCCACGGCCACGCCCCCAGCCAGGCCACACCCCGGCCAGGCCACACCCCAGGCCAGGCCACACCCCGGCCAGGCAGGCAGGTCAGTCCCTGGTCAGCCGGTGACTGGAGCTGATTTGCAGAGACGGGATTAGGGGCTCACATGGAGCACTTGTCCCTTCCCAGATTAATCTGTCTACGTCCTCCAGCCTGAACGGAGAACATGTGGTAAATGCATGATCTGGGGACAAATGAAGGAGTGGGGGTCAGGGCTCTGGTTCATGGAAGATGTTAGGAGGCCGCCTCGGCCATCAGAGCTGCCCTGCCGCCATGGCCAAGGAACCAGTCTCAGGAGCCAGAGTGTTGTGAAAAGTGTGTATACATGTGTGTGCGTATGTGTGTGCATAACTGTATGCACATGCATGTGTGTATATGTGTATGTGCATGTGTGTATGTGTGTGTGCATCTGTGCACAAGCATATGCATGTGTATGTGTGCATGTGTGTATACGCGTGTGCATGTGTTTATATGCATGCATCTATGTATATGTGCATGCATGTGTGTACATGTGTGTGTTGGTTTCTATTCAGAACGCAGAAGCAGCCACTTTTCAGAAAAGCAAACACCAGCGTCTGGGGCGCAGCCTGCGGGCGTCCACAGCCACTCACTGCCGCTCGGAGGTCGGAGGTCGGAGGTTGGGGTGGGAGCGGAGCCTCTGTCCCCGCCGCCCAGAGCCACCGCGGAACTGCCCAGACGCCCAGCGCAGCTGCCCCGGAGGGGCTGGAGGGACAGCGCATCAGCGTCCCCTCCTGTCTCCCCGCCGGCCCCTTCCTGGAGGAAGTGCCCAGGAGGAGGCTTCTGACCGTGAATGAAACCTTCAGATGCTCCTGCTTGGCTGCAGGGGAGGCTGTGCCCCTCGGGGTGCTGGGCAGTTTCCACGGTAATGGAGGTGGCGGACATGTGCGCGAGGCCCCCGGGACATGGCCTCCTCCAACGCCGGCGTCCTGAGCTCTCGGTGGAAAACACGGGGTTTTCATTTAAAAAGGAGGAAGACACAACAGCAAAACTGTGTCCTTCTCTCATGACAAGGGAACTCTCCCACTGGGCGAGGCCGTCAGCCTCCAGCGGGTCGGAGTCTTATTTCCCGTCACACTGCGCCCCCCCCCCCCCACCTCCGGCAGCTTCTCCCGCCCTCTGGGGTCTGGTCACGCATGGGCACTGCCAGGAAGGGGCACCTGGGAACGAAACCTCGGCTTGTCCTTGCCCAGGTCCACCCAACGGCTCAGCCACACACCTTGACGTGACCTAATCCTAGAAAAGCCACCGAAACCCGCGTCCTCCCGCCCCGCCCGAGGCAGCCTGCTCACCAGGTGCTCAGAGGGACGAGGAGGAGGAGGAGGAGGAGGAAGAGAGAACAGGTGAGGCCAGATTCTTTAGAAAGAAGAAGGACTGTGACTTTCGACAACCCATGACCTGCCTGCAGAGGTGAGGGCTGGAGTCCCGGGGGAGGGTGGGGGGCAGGTCCTGGTCCCCGGCCCAGCCTGACCAGTTTGCGTGGGGGTAGACTGGGGAGCAGCAGGCGCTTGCTGGTGGGAGTCCCTGCCGAGAGCCTGCAGTTTGGATTTTTCTGAGGCCGATTTCAAGTCCTCTGCCAGGACCCCCACAACCTGCCGCGTCCGTCCGAGAGCCACTGGGATGACTTGTTCAGAAAGGAGTAACGGCCGCGCCTGTGCTGAGCGTGCACGTCTGTGCTTTCCCGGGGCCCCAGGAGGGATGGCACGGGCCGGCGTTCCGGGGCCACGGACAGGCCAGGCCAGGAGGAGGGGTGATGTCCGGCCGGCGTTCCGGGGCCACGGACAGGCCAGGCCAGGAGGAGGGGTGATGCGGGGCCAGTGTCCGGGGCCGACGGTCAGGACAAGTCAGGAAGAGGGGTGATGCGGGGCTGGCGTTCCGGGGCCACGGTCAGGACAAGCCAGGAGGAGGGGTGATGCGGGGCCGGCGTTCCGGGGCCACGGTCAGGACAGGCCACGAGGAGTGGTGATGCGGGGCCGGTGTCCGGGGCCGACGGTCAGGATGGGGCCTGCACTGCCCGCGGCCGCTCTGTTGGGTGCGGGACACAGAGCAGAACAACAGGCTCCGAGTCCCCACGGCCCCTGCGCCTGGTTCACGGATGAGACGAGTGGCCACAGGACAGAGCGGCGACCTCGGGGCGCTGCGGTCCCAGCAGCCCGGGCTTTCTGGGCAGACACACTCGCTCCACTGGCTCAGCAGGACGGGGCAGACATGTTGTTAACATGGAGAGCGGCTGCCGCGTTTGGACGGTTATGGTCCGAACCTGTGGGCCCACGTGGCTGGGTGATGTGGGCTGCGGGAGGGGCAGCACATAAACAAAGCTGGATCAGGTGCATGTGATTGAGTGGATTCGAAACCTGCAAGGACGTTGTGACCACGCCCTTCCTTTGCCTCGTGGGATCTGGCTATGAAATAGACTCGGCTCGCAGGCCGTGGCGCTGTCTCTCCACGTGAGCCCACGTGATTCCCACCAGCAAGCGCCTGCTGCTCCCCAGTCTACCCCCCACGCAAACTGGTCAGACTGGGCCGGGGACCAGGACCTCCCCCCGCCCCCCCTCCCCGGGACTCCAGCCCTCACCGCTGCAGGCAGGTCATGTTGGCTTAGTGGTTGAGCATCAACCTATGAACCAGAAGGTCACCCTCCAGGAGGAAGTCCAGGGGCACCAGCCTCGCATCGAAGGCATCTTCGCCGGAGCACCGTCACTGACAGCAGCAGCCTGGGTGCCGAGACCGTCCCATAGAGGCTCGCTGACCTGCGGCAGCTGTGGGGCCTCCTCATCGAGGAGACGGAGAAGAGACCCCAGGCGGGCGGCTGGAGGGCGTGCCGGGGGCCCAGAGAAGCTCCTTGTCCCTCCATTCAAAAGACTGGGAGTTGCCCGAGGATGTCGATGTGGAAGAAGCTACGCAAAGGACTGAGGTGCCAACATGGGGTCAGCTGAAGAAGATGACAACTGAGGCCCAGCAGATGGTAGAAAAGCAAGGAGTGGAAGCTACGCCCTCGGCCATGTTTATGGCGGTGCCAGTGTTGGTGAGCTGCCCGTTTTCTGTAAAGTCCTGCGCAGCCAAACCTGAGGACTCTGGGTTAGATATAAACCAGCAGCAAGAGAAACTTCCATTTTGTAGAAATAGTCTGTGGTTTGGTTTCTCTCTTGCTGCTGTGTTGCACTGGCGTTGCTTTGTTATTGTTTTATTCATAGCCAGAGTTTTGTTCTCTCGTTGCTGTATTACATTAACATTACTGTGTTTGTTGTTTGTTAATAGCCAGAGTTTTGTTCTTGATGTTTTGGTTATTCTGCATAATTTGCCTAGAGCTTTTGATGATGTAAATGGAAGTGTTTAAAAACAGAAAAAATGGGGGGTGGGGGGAGAGGCAGAGAGGGGCTACAGCGTTTGGACAGGTTATGGTCCGACCTGTGGGCCCACATGGCTGAGTGATGTGGGTTGCGGGAGGGGCAGCACGTAAACAAAGCTGGACCAGGTGCATGTGACTGAGTAGATTCGAAACCAGGAGGACGTTGTGACCACGCCCTTCCTTTGCCTCGTGGGATCTGCTGTGAAATAAAGACTCGGCTCGCAGGCCGTGGCGCTGTCTCTCCATCAGAGAGGGCCGCGTCCCACCCAGACCCAGCCTTCTTCTCTTGTCTGTCTTTTCTCATCCTCCACCGCCCCCTCTCAGGCTCACCAACCCTGGCTGTGCGGGCACGGCACAATATAGTAAATCTGAAAGACTTCGTTAAAGGTTCTGTACTCAAGTTTGTCCAGCCCAGCCGGCGTGGCTCAGTGGTTGAGCATCGACCTGTGAACCAGAAGGTCACGTTTGACTCCCGGTCAGGGCACAGGCCCGGGCTGCGGGCTCAATCCCCAGTGAGGGGCGTGCAGAAGGCAGCCAGTGGATGTTTCTCTCTCTTCGATGTTTCTACCTCTCTATCCCTCTCCCTTCTGCTCTCTCTAAAAATCAATGAAAATATATTAAAACTAAATTTGTCCAATAAAAAGGCTGGTTTTTATTTCAGTGCCCAAGTTAGACGGTTTGAAGCACTTTATGTCCCGCAAGGAGCAGCAGGCTCCAGTGGCCGAGGGAGCGTGCGTCCTGCGGGCAGGCCTGTGCTGCGAAAACCCCCGTGCTCACCCCGAAGCACTGTTAGTTCCACGTCAATGGAGACCCAGGTGCACACGCGGTCACCTGCAGTCCCAGGCCTTCGCCACCTTGTTCTCCTCACAGACCTTCCTTACGAGCTGGTCACCCGCTGGGGGCTGCTGGGTGGCTGCAGCCCCACCACATGCCGAGTGCCGCGACCACGGCTCCTCACGCCCCAGGTGAGCCCAGGGAGCCCGGGTGCAGCTGCCTGTGGCTGCCGGCCGGGTCGGGCCCTGTGCTGAGCCCCTCACGCGTTTTTGTCCTATTTCATACGTAGGGAAGCGGAAGGGAATGCCTGGGTGAAGCAGGAGCCATCCCTTCAGAATCGTCCCCGACCTGCTCACAGGATGAAAGCGGTGCTGCCTCCAGCGCTCCATCCGCACGCGGTGCGCAGCTGCGGGGGGTGAGTGTCTGTGGGGCCGCTGCACGTCCGGGGCCGGACTGCAGAGGCCGTGGGTCCACACGTGCCTGTGTTTGCAGGATCTAGAGCTCGCCCTTGGTCTCCGATGGTTGTGACGAGTCACCGCCATTTGCATCTTTGCTGCATGTTCTATTATTACCGATGCTTTTAGACTGTAAAAGCAGAGACGGGAGAGCCCATCCAGTTACCGTCCCACTCCCCGACCCCCGGGGTGGAGCTCCTCACAGACCAGGGTCGCAGGAGAGGTCAGGCCTCCGCGTCGCGTGTCCTGGTGACCCTCCCGGCTGTGGGCCAGCCCTGTCCTGCCCTGTCCTGCTTCCTCCCTGCTCGGCCCCCGGCAGCCGTCTGTGCTGCGTGAGGAGTTCCAGGACCGGGGCCATGGGAGGCTGCTTTTCAGGCCTCAGTGGCTGACTTCTAATGCGTTTTGTAAATAATAGAACGAAGCCATTCTCTGCCAACGCCCCCACGCCCCGGTGGTGAGGGAGCCGGTCTCCGGCCCCTGCTGCTGGCCCACGCACTGGTCTGGTGGAGAGACACGAGTGTGGGGGGACCGGGGGATGGGGTATTTTGTACTAGTTTTGGGTGTGCAGCTCAGTGGTTAGATAATCATAATTGACAGTGGTCCCCCGATATTCCCAGTGCCCCCGTGCCCCCCTGGCCCCACACGTAACTATTGCAATGTCATTGACTGTAGTCCCTGTGCTGTACCTTACACCCCCGACGGTTCCGTGACTGCCAATCTGTCCTTTTCAGTCCCTTCACCTTTTCCACCCGGTCCTCCCCGCCCTCCCCTCCGGCCACCACCGGTCCGTTCTCTGCATCTATGAGTCTGTTCCTGTTTCGTTTAGTCCCTTATTTTGCTCTTTAGCTGCCGCATAGCAGAGCTCACAGGGGACTTCTTCCTCCGCCTGACTCGCTTCACCCGTCACACCCTCCGGCCTCCACGCTGTGCAGAGGTGGGATTCCGTCCCCGTCGGTGAGTAGACCCCACGGTGTGCACGCACCTCGGCTCCCGCGCCCGCAGCTCGGCTGCCGTGATGAGGCTGCAGCGAGGCAGCCCGCGTGTCTCTTCTCGGGCTCGAGCTGGTGTCTCTCCAGTAAACGCCGGAGCGGGGCTGCGGGGCCGGAGGCCGCTCCGTGTCAGCCCGGAGGCCGCTCCGCTGTTTGCAGGGCGCGGGGTGGGCCCAGCAGCGGGCGAGGCATTTCCCAGGCACTCACGCGTTACATCCCCGGAACAATCTTGCAAAGCAGGGCGTACGTTTGTGTTTCCATTAATGAACTATTCACTGGGTAATGCGATTAAAAGCGAGCCTGCCGAACCCCCCGCGCCAGCCCCAGTGCCTTCTGGGAAGGCAGCCACCAATAACGTTTTATTGCTTTTCCTTGCAGAGATGTTTTATGTATATGAATATCAATGATAAAGGACCGTGCAGGCCCCTCTGCAGCCTTTCTTTTTGTTTTTTTCACTTTGCTCTTAACAACGTGCCCTTCGTTTCCACAGAACAGAGCGCTGGCACTGGGCCATCCGTGTCCGACGAGACCTCGTTCATTTTCTTTTCTTCGTTTTTCCTTTTTGTAATCCTCACCTGAGGAGATCCACTGATTTTTCAGAGAGAATGGAAAAGATGGAGGGAGAAAGTCAGGAAGAGAGAGAGAGAGAGAACACCGATGTGGGAGAGACAACCCACCAGTTGCCCCCGCATGCACCCCCGTAAAGACATCAGGGGATGGTTTTATTTGAGGCGATTCCTTGTGTTGTTTGGGGCTGCATGTAACCTCTGTGAGCTTTGATTTTCCAATAAATGAAAAAATGGAGGCACACACATCCCTCCTCTAATAAACTCCCAATTCCATCGTGCGGAGGAACAGAAACAGAACACGTGGTTGCTCTCGGAGCTCCGGAAATTGCATTTCCTAATCACAGGTGTTTGTCACAGGGATTCCTGCAGAGGCTGCGTCCCTGGAGGCGGCTGGCGGCTGAAGCTGCGGTTGCAGCACAGAGACCATTTCTCAAGGGCTGTTCCCAGAGCCTCAGAGGAGGGACTCTGCCCCGGCCTTGCACCTGCGGACGGGGGTGCGGGCCCGGCCTTGCACCTGCAGACCAGTGGAGAGAAGGGAGAAGTTCCTGCCTGCACGGCCCAGTAGGCACGACCTGCAGTCCCAGAGGAGCTGTCTCTGCAGCTGGGGGCTCGAGGTCTGATGTTTGCTCGTGTGGGGACGGGACACTGCACTGGGCAAGGACACCATGAGGGCCCCGCCTCGGAACAGCCCCGGGCTCCATGGGGAAATGGACTTTGTTCTACAGCATGGCCCACACCTGGGACACACCCTGAAGGGACCTGCAGGAACACCGCTCCGAGGTCAGCGCCCGCCTGGAGCCACGGCCCCTCTGCACCAGCTTGCAGGGGCTTGCTCTTCTGAGAGGAGGGTCCATGCGGCCGTGGCCTCGCTGCTGCTCCCGTTTCTCCCCTCAGTGGTGGCGGGTCCTCATCAGCAGCTGACAGTTCAGGGCGCAGCTCGGACACAGGCCAGCCTCTCCCCACGCGGGGGTGGGGCGCGGCGCCAGGGACACACCGCCCCACGAGGAGTGAGGGGTGCAGGCCAATGGCAGGGCGGCTGGCCCCGAGCTCGTGAGCGCATCTCTCAGAGCCCACTGCTCCGTTTCTGATAACAAGACAGCGGTTCCTAGTGGACCACAAGTTCAGGGCCCGGGGGGCTCTCTAGGCTTCGGTCTCCACAGGGCGCGGAAGCCAGCACCTGGGCCACCTGCTGCCCCATCACCCAGGACACACTGTGGCCCGCGGCTGTACTTTCCCGAAGAGCAGCCCAAGTCATTCGCATCAAGCGGACGAGTGAGGAGGAGCTGGAAGCACCTTTACTGAAGTGACTAGTAAATAGGTATGAAAGCCTCTGAAGCCTGGCCGGCAGGGCCCAGTGGTTGAGCATCGACCTGTGACCCAGGAGCTCACGGTTCAATGCCTCCTGGTCAGGGCACAGACCCAGGTTGTGGGCTCAATCCCCAGGAGGGGGCGTGCAGGAGGCAGCCGATCCGTGAGTCTCTCCCATCATTGATGTTTCCCTCTCTCCCTCCCTCCCTCTCCCTTCCTCTCTGACATCATAAGAAATATTTGTTTTTTAGAAAAGACGCTGAATCTTGCGCGGAAATTATGGCGCTGGGACCAGTAGCTGGTGAGGCCGTTTCCGAGGAACCCACCCCTGGGGCACTAGGTCTTCGTGGCTGAAATGCCCCGCCTTCCGTCCCAGACCGCGCGGGGGCTGTCCTCCAGGTCACACAGCAACACGCAGGTGTGGAGGGCGCAGCCCGACCAGGCTGCTGGGGGCGCTCCGCGTGGTGTGGCTGGATCCCTGCGGAGCGCGGGGCGTGCCGACGGCAGAGTGAGGGCAGGAGGTTGGAGCCCCGTCTGTGCTGTTGGCTGGGACTCTGGGGCCTTCTGCTGCGTGAATGCTCTTTTCTCCTGTGAGTATATGAGCCGACGTATGTGTGCATGTGTGTGTGTACGTGTGTGCTGCGCATATATGTAGTTACATGGATATGTAAACGTGCACACAAATGTTTGCTTTCCGCGGCTTTATCGTCTCTTGTAATAACCCTTTGCGGTCGTATTAAATTTGGACATGGGTGTCGTACTGGTTGGAATTCATTTCCATTGAAAGAGCAGAGATACATAACATGCAAGATTATGAAGGATCAACAAGATTTATTCATTTTTTTCTGGAACTACGTCACCACTAGTAGAATCACTACAAACGTTATCACTTTCTACGTCAGAGTCGGTATTCAAGGTGCCAAAATAAAACTCTTCATTACTTTCAGATTCGCAGTACACTTCTTTCGGTAACTTTCTTTTTGCCATTTTGGAGTATTATTTTGAAATATCTTAACAAGCGAGAATGCCTAATTACAGTTAAACGTAATTTGTAAAGCTTTATTTGAAATTCTGCGAAGTATCTCCGAAGCTTGTCGACTTCTTCACTCTCAAAAGGCGACTGACTCGCCACGGTGTTTTGCATGGCGCGTGTGGAACGACCGCGTTTGTTTATATTGAGTTTCGATATCTCCGATTTGTCGGGACAATGTTTTGGTTCGTGACAAGGTCGCTCAGACACTTAAGAGCTTTCAGAGAAATGATGAACTGATACATGAATGAATAGAGTTAAGATTCGTACGGTTCCTTGCTGTGGTGGCTGAGAGCAGACATGACCGGAACGGTAAAAAAGCTTTGGTGGCTGAGAGTAGACAAACGACGGCCAAGGGTTAAGTCACTTCGCACCGAGGATGAGCTGTCATGTGACCTGTTGTAAATGCCCAGCACACGACGTACAGTAACTGGGACCGTTCGCTCTGTGTGACACGTTGGGGTGCAGGGCGCCCCCGAGTTACCTTTTACCTCCTCCAGCTTGGCCCCTGGTCGGCTGGTTGGTGTCATCGAACCAAGGTTGTGGGTTCGATCCCCAGTCAGGGCACGTACAAGAATCTACCAATGGCCCTGGCCGGTGTGGCGCAGTGGATAGAGTGTCGGCCTGAGGACCGAAGGGTCCTGGGTTTGATTCGGGTCAAGGGCATGTATCTCGGCCACAGGCTCCTCTCCGGCCCAGGCCCTGGTCAGGGCTTGTGCAGGAGGCAACGGATCAATGTGTTTCTCTCACATCGATGTTTCTCTGTCTTTCCCTCTCTCTCCCTCTCTCTCTAACATCAATGGAAACATATCCTTTGGTGAGGATTCACAGCAAAAGAATCAACCAGTGAATCATGGACAAATGGAACAACAAATCGGTGTCTCTCTCTCTGTCTCCCCCCTTCCTCTCTGTCAATAGAGAAATAAAGAACAACAACGGACGGCCTTTCCCGTGTCTGCGGGCACCGTGCTGTTGGCGTCGGTGCGGTGCGAGGGGCGCGGTGCCGTGGTCTCGCCCAGGCCCTCAAGGACCTGCCGCCAGCTGTGATGAGTTATTGGCTTCAATGCTGAGCCCAGCGCTCGGGACACGAGGCAGGAGGGGCCTGCGGGTCCTGGAAGGGATGTGGCGGGACGGGCCCTTCTCTCCGTCTTTGCAGACTCCGTGTGGAGGCTGCTCTGCTCAGCGTGTAGATCCCTCTCCCCTCTCAGTCCGCCTCCTGTGGCCCTGCTTTCCGAGGGCTCTCCATCGCCTGGGAATGCACGGCTGGGGGGGAGGGGGAGTGTAGGGGCTGCAAGGGGGCCTGCGGGGGGCTGTGAGGGCTGTGGGGCTGTGAGGGGCTGCGGGGGGCTGTGAGGGCTGGAGGGCCTGCAGGTGGCTGCGGGGGGCTGTGGGGGCCTGTGGGGGGCTGTGGGGGCCTGTGAGGGCTGGAGGGCCTGCAGGTGGCTGCGGGGGGCTGTGGGGGCCTGTGGGGGGCTGTGGGGGCCGGCGGGGGGCTGTGAGGGCTGGAGGGCCTGCGGGTGGCTGTGGGGGGCTGCGGGGGGCTGTGGGCTGCTGGCTGGGAGGGGGCGCTCCACGGCGAGGGTTTCTGGGAGCGGCCGCTCATGCTGGGTCTCCTGGGCCACCTCAGGAAAGGGCCGGCGGGGACAAGGGTGCGCTGGGGCCGTGGGCTCTGTCCTGTGTCACTCAGATGCCACACGCGTGTGTCACGTGCCCGTGTGGGGAGCGGGGTCCCCGCCCCTGGCTGCACACTCTCCCTGTGGCCAGCTCACCGGGGGCCGGGAGGCAGGGGGGTGGCTTGTTCCTTCCAGCTGTGACTCAGCACTAATCAAGCTGCCGGGGGCTGCCGGGGCCCAGCTGGCCAACGACTCCCTGGCATTTCACACGAGAAAAACAAGATAACGAGGGGCTGTCCGCCCGCCTGCTGGGCGAGCAGGAAGCGGGGGAGTTGGGAGCAGCCCAGCCGCCCTGAGCTGGGCTCATCCACGTTCCCAGACGCTCCGTCCTGCCCGGCCCGAGGCAGCCGGTCCCCCACGGCCCAGCCTCCTGCGCCCCAGCAGAGGGGGAGGCACAGGGATCCAGCACCCCAGCCACAGGAGACTCGGGGTCCCAGCCCAGCTCTGCCCCCCAGTCCTGCCAAGTGCTCCTGTGGTCACCCCCCTGCCCCCCCCCCCCCCGGGCCATGCGGTGGATTGAAGACACGCACAGCGAGGGCCCGGTCCCAACCCCAATGTCTCTCTGAGGACCACACGCCAGTGAGCGTGGGAGCCTGGACTCGGGCGCCCAGGCCCTCGGAGCCCAGCACCCAGGTTCGGAACCTCCTTCCGACCAGCGACTCAGAGCAGGTGCTCCCAAACTCAGGAGGCGAGTGAGCCACAGCCCCGGGCAGCGGGCAGGGCCGCGTCGAGGGTGCCAGCCGGCTTCCCCGTGACCCTGGAGGGGCAGCGAGGACACCTCACGGCCCCGCCGGCTGGGTCAGGCTGTCGGGGCTGCCGGCGGCTGTGGCCCGGGGGTGCAGGTGAGAGCGCGGCCCCCACACCAGCCTTATAAACAGGCCTCGGGGCGCGGTGGGGGGACCCGGCTGGGGGGAGGTCGCCACGGCTCCTGCTGCCAAGCGAGGGCCAGCGGGCGCGTCTGCACAGCCGCCACAGCTGCCGGGGCCGGCCACCTGCTGCCTCGGGAGCGTGGCCGCGGCCGGGGATGCCATTGGCGTGGGAGGAGGTTAATGGAGCTTTAAAAGCATCCAGATGCTGCGTTTGGCCCCGAGGAGCATCGAGTTCAGAGAAACGTTGGCGCGTCACAGAGAAGAGCAGGAAACAGAGAGAACCCCAGCGACAGCGCCTCCGCCCGGCTGCCTGGGCCGCTCGCTCCCGGACGCGGCCTCTCTCCGCGGCCTCCCCGCTCCGTGGACAAAGGGCACTGGTCCTCCTCCGAGAAGCGCACTTTCTCCGCAGAGATGTCCGCTAAGCCAGCTCAGCCCTTTCCGGCATGGGGTGGGGGGTGGGGCGCATGGCAGCAGTCACTCACCCTGCAGGCTGTGAAATTCACAAACTCAAGGAGACTTTGAAGGAGGGGGGCGTGGGGCGGGGGGACAGGGGGGCGGGGCCCAGGCCTGGGCAGCCAGCAGTCACCAGGCGCCCAGGCAAACACGTTGTCTTCCTTCTTATTATGTTTTTGCCTTTACGTGGCAGTACATTCCGGCTGATGGGTAAGGTCTGACCCATCCATCCTCCAGACAAATTTTCAGCTCAGACAGGAAGCCAAGGACGCAGCTGGAACCACTGCCACAGCCCCAGAGCAGGTGGGGACGGGGCGTCCTGGAGGCGGAGCCTGGGCCGAGCAGGTCGCTTCAGAGGCGGCGGGGGCAGGTGCAGGCCCCACGCACAGCTGGCTGGCGTTTCCCCGGTTCTGCTCTCGGCCCCTTTCTTCGGCTCTTCACACAAACCCTCCCGCTCGAGGTCAGAGGCACGGTCATTACTCGAAATAATTAGCAGCTTACATTTTAAAGCTGTTTTTAAAAAAATGGAAAGGCTTTAATTATTCCAAGTTCAGCTCAGTCAGCCCTCACCGCGCCTTTCGCACGTGGCTGAGGTCTGGTCCCGGCCCGGGGAGGAGCCACGCTGGGGCCTGCCTTGTCCGTGGTGGGTCAGCGAAGCCCTGAGTTATGACTGATTGTCTTTTATTGTGTTAGTCCTCAGCCGAGGACATTTTCCCATTGATTTATAGAGAGAGGAGGAGAGGGAGAGAGGGACACATCGGTCGGTGGCCTCCCGCATGTCCCCTGACTGGGGCTGGGATTGAGCCTGCAGCCGAGGCAGGTGCCCTTGATTGGAACTGAACTCGGACCCTTCAGGCTGGGGCTGGGGCTCTATCCACTGAGCCACACAGGCCAGGCATGCCTGTGCTCCGTTGCTGAAGGACATGACGACCTGTGGGCATAGGTTACGGGGCCGTAAGTGGAGCAGGAAAGCGACTTTCCAGGGCACGGTTTTTGCCAATGCTCCTCTGTGCCTTTGTACATGATCAATACATGATCAATGTTTGGTTAAGGGATGAGGCAGGGTCATAAACTCAGGCAAGTTCTGCCTCCAAGAGGCCCCCAAACGGAGGGCTCCCGGGGGTGACACTCCTACAGCTGTTTCCATCCGGCATCCTGTCACGTTGGCGGTTCTGAGAGTTGCTGTGAGGCTGGGAGTTGGGACTTCAGGTACATTGAGACTCACTTCCTACAGTCACCACAACGTGGAGTGGGGGCTACGTGAGTGCAGACACAACTAGGACGAATGAGCACGTGGGACCTAAATGAGCTCATGAGGTAACTGAATGGATCCTTCTGAAGATTTGAGAATCCTGTGAAATGGAAAGTGCCAAACACCGAGAATAAACTCACAAAGATGCATCACACACATCTGTTGAAAGCAATACTAACCCTAACCCTACTTCCAGCCCTAGCCATAACCCTAACCCTAACCCTAACCCTAACCCTAACCCTAACCCTAATGCTAACCATACCCTAACCCTACCCTAACCCTACCCTAACCCTAACCCTAGCTCCTAACCCCTAACCCTAGCCTTGCCCTAACCCTAACCCTAACCCTAGCCCTAACCCTAACCCTAGCCTAAACGCCCTAACCCTAACCCTAACCCAAGCTCTAACCCCTAGTCCTAACCCTAACCCTAACCCTAGCCCTACCCTAGTCATACCCTAACCCTAACCCTAGCCCTAGCCTAACCCTAGTCCTAACCCGAACCCTAACCCAAACCCTAGCCCGTAACCCTACCCTAGCCCTAACCCTAGACCTAACCCTAACC